AAGTCAATAAAACTTATCTATTAAATGATAATTAAATTTTTTAAATGTAAATTTATAATTTTATAAATTAGTATAATACAATTTCTGATTCACAACTTAATTTCCACATTCAATCAATTATTAAATTTTTTTTACTATATATATTATATTATTATTTTATTTTTCTTTACTATCATAAATTAAATAATTTTATTATCCAATATAAATAAATTATTTGGATTATTATCATCCAATGTAAATTATACATTTGACCATACCTCTTGAAGGAAAGTATCATGCCCTCATAACTCTATTACCTGAACAAAATCATAAGAATGTAAAGTTATGACCAAATTAATCAATCCTAAATTGTAAACAAGCCCTTTATACTTATTTTGGAGAGCAGGTTGGGTGAAAAAGTTTTCCGACTTTTAATAATTTGAAGGATATAGATGAACTTGAAGAATTTCCTGGGATATCTCATATTTAAATATTTATTTTAAATAATGAGGGAATTTCCCTAAAAATGCATATTTGTCTTACATGAAGTCAAAATGAAACCATTTCAACTTTTTGGATGGTCGAAATGGTCAAAAATAGTTTTGACTTTTTGATAAAAATTTCAACAAAGTCAAAATGTTTTTGATGGTCAAAATTATTTTGGATAATTGAAATAGTTGAAATAATTTTTTATTTTAGACAATATGCTTATTTGAATTTTGAGTTTTGATACAAGTTTGAGGCACTTCATTTGCCAAAATAACTCCAGATCGTAGTGTTACCAGAATTAGGATTTAATGTTAAATTGTTAGTCGAAATATCCTAATTCCGAACCAAATCTTTTACTTTTATTTTTACTTTATTTTACTTTTTTTATATCTATGTTGTACGTGAGAATGAATTCACATATGTGAAATTCAAATTAGCCGATCAGAATTTCACCCCACTCCATAATATTTCAAATTCACATAATTTCAAATTCACATACAACATCTACATTTATTTATTCCTTATATTTTATTTCTTATTTTATTTTTATTCATATTTTTATTTTTATTCGTATAACGTCGAAATTAGTTAACTTTATTTAGAAATTAGCGTCGCGGTTAGAATGTTACGTCGCAATTAAAGTGCGATATCGCGGCTAGAACGTTAGATTGCAATGAAGTTGTTATTAATTAATTTAATTGTATAAAAGAAGCTCAAATTCGACCTGCTTGTAAAATAACTTTGTAATAACTTTGTTAATAACTTTGTTATAAGGAAAACCTTGTTACAAGTTAATTAGTTTCGACTAAATAAAACTAAATAAATAAAATAGAAATATTTCATTTAAAACTTTTATCTTCTTTAAACAAGATTATTCGCTAATACCAAAATCAATTCGTTGATCCCCTATTCATTCTAATCCACGCAAAAACAAAAATAATTGTTATCACCAATTAAAATACGCTCTCCCGAATTTAATCGGTGACAGTAGTAAAAAAGTATCTTCAAGGAATTTCTAATTGTTTTACTTTCATGTGGCCAACTGGTGATGAAGAATGATTTATAGTAGCTTATGAAATACCCAACTATGGAAAACCAAAAAAGTATTCAGTCTCTGACATTAAAAAACTTTTTAAAAAAAAATAACATCAATCAACCAAATGCTATAGTCACCAACCAATCAACCCCTCAATCTGAATGGAAAATGCCTTTTGACTTTTGCACAGTTGCAAAACTCTCTAGTTTGGAAACTGACACTAACACCAAAGGAATATTTTAGAACACAAGTCATCATAGTCGGGAAATTTTTTAAACCAGTAATAATATTATCTAACCACTTCTAGTCACTAAAGGAGCATCAAAGCTGCCAGTCTTCAGTTAAAGAGAAGTGTAAATAAATTCATTATGATAATATTTTGTTTACAAACAATGTAACTATCTTATTTGATGGTCTCTAGTCCTCACAGATGAAGCTAATGCAGGACATCAATTAGGAGAAGTGTAAATAAACTTATTTTGTTATATAAATAATATTGTTTCCTTATTTATTTTCTAGTCCTCACCAAAGGAGCCATCTTTGGTGATACTAGTCTCTGGTTGGGCAAGAAGTAAAGTATATTTTACCTATAGTAATAATCCAAAATTCTTTTACATTCAGTAAATAATAAATTATTACTTACTTTCTAGCAATGACTCTTTAAAAATACTTATTTATTGTTTCTCTAGTAGATCAAAAGCTCATTAGATGAATGCAATAAATTTGAATTGTGCATGTAATAACCCTTCTGTATTGTTGAAAAAACTAAAAAGAAAAATAGGCTATTTGCTTATTTTGTCTTTGGAAAAACTTTTTCAATAATCATGTAGTCCTGAGCAAACTTTAGTGCCTTTTATTGGGTAATCTCAGTTTCTATTCATTTTCTTTTGCTGGTTGTTATTATTTTTCTTCCTTCTTGGTAAATTTCATAAGTGATTTTCAAAACATAAGGTGCTATTTTTTCACCTTGTTTTTTCTTCAAAATCCCATGGCAGATCTGATATAAATAGTTTCATTTTTATATAGGAGTAGTTCAATATGTTATTTAAGAAAACAAAATAACAAGCAAGGTACTACAAAATTGACAACATCATGTTAACAATATTTAACCCTGAAATTCTTTGTTGTACAAATGTTCACTTCCCCATATAAAAAAAACTTTATATTTTAAAGCAACTTAATCTTGTATGAGATAAAAATTTCAATTTTTTATAAGGATTTACATAGGGAGTCAGATATTTATTGTAAGGGAGTGTATTATCATATCATTGTTTGAAACATTATTGATAAAAAACGGTTTATTTTTTTTTTTGAGATCTATCTTCTGCAATTGGAAGGACAGAACAATTTTTAAGAGTAACATATTTAGCAAGAATATCTTGGCATTCTTTTCAAGAGTTCCATATTTATTGACAAGTGAATTATACTCTTCAATAGTGACATAATAAACATTTTGTAAGGGACATGACAGATATAACATAATTATTGGTTTGATAGTGTGCTGACACCCTCCCCCGCACCCATTTACTATTATTGACGTGTTACATCAGTTTTTACTATTCAACCAAAACCCCCTTCAAATAAAATTACATCATATCTGTTATGTTCCAAACTTAAACATGTTTTGGAAATTGATTCGCAGATTGTTTATCAATCAGTGAATTTTTTTATTACACATAGGATCGTCAGAGTTATGATAACATAGTAAGTAAACTTTTCAAAAAGCAAAAAAAACCCCTGTTTATTAGTATATGTACTCATGACCAAGTTTCAATAAAATAGTGATTTTCGTAAACATCCAGTTCATAGTTATGTCATTGTTTAAAAAGAAAAAGAAAATGTCAAAAGGATATTTTTAAGTTTTTATTTATAAAAAAAAAAAAACTAATAACATAATAATAGTAATAGCAACTCAGAAAATTGTTTGACGTAGATAATTTTATATATAAAATGTCATGAGAAACCAAACTCTTCGAAATCTCGGCTTCTTATGTATTACATGGCTTTCATTTTTTTTTTAAATTTTCATTGTTTTGCATAAAAATTTGGTGCGATATAAAAATTTGTACAGTCTACTCTCTCTATAACGACCCTCTCTATAACGGCCACTAAGTAAAATTTCTCTATAACGAACTTCCCTTTTGTCCCCGTTTCAATTTTTTATAATTAATTTCTCTCTCTATAACGACCATCTTAATAAACTCTCTCTATAACAACCAAAAGCAGAGAAATTACATATAGGGACAGAGGGTTCGTTATAGAGAGAGTGAACTGTATGTTGTATGACGATTATTTCTTTTAATTAGTAATAGTAAATGTGTCCCGAATTTTTATATATAAATCCCTGCTTCATAATACGTTTCACGAATTAAATTTGTGTTTTTAAAACATTTTGTCGAATGAGATTATTTTTATTATTATTTTGTTGTCACTGTCTTGATTTTTCATTTACTATATAGCCTTTTTATGTACTTATTTCTTTAGTCGAAAACTTCTTTGCTGATTTCCTTTCGGTTCGAAATAGAATTTTCTATGGGCATTCTTCTTTGAAATTCGTCAGGTTTTTATTGTTATATATTGTTTCATTATTTTCATCGTTTTTTGATCATCTTTGTAAGATTGGTTTTGGATCTCTTTGGATTGGGTATGATTTCTTTAATATATTTTTGTGGTGGCGTCAAATATAGTTGTTTGCCATAATTGTTTTTGGAGGAAAAGTGATTATGGCGATTCTCAATATTCTTTATATGTATGAATGGACATAAAATAACTATATATTAATATGTCATTTGACTTGAAGAGTTCAAATAATTTCAGAGATAATCTTGGCAACCATTAAAGTTAATCATGGCATTATGGCAATGATCATTTATTAAGAAGGACGATTATGGCGAACAACTATAGCGTCGAATAGCCTTTTTCTCTTTACTTTAATAAAAGAGAACATTCAGGTTAATATACTTTTGAATTCCTTTTGATTCCTATTTCTATTGATCATCATCGAATGATCTAATCTTTAATTTACTAATTCTTCATAATCAATATTTTTTTAAATCTTTCCTTTTCTTTTAGTTCCAAGTTTTGTTTATTTAATTAGATCAAGATATAAATTACTTATTAAAGAATGATATTCAATTTTAAAAATACAACTATAACTATACTAGCAACAACAATAAAAATAATAACGAATAATAAAAGGTAAGAAATAATATAAATATAATTTTGATTTTTTTAATTATTTTTTTTTATTGTCGGAGAGTGGAATAATTAGCCTTTACCAGTGAATAGTTTTAGGTTTGATATTGTTTCAAACCAAAACTTGTCATATATTTTATTTTAATAATTATACTATATATATTATATATATTTCAATAAATAGACAAATAATTCATTTTTTTTTCAGAAAAATAAAAGTTATTATTATAACTATGATCATATTTCAGAGCGATTAGTAATGTAGGTTCATTATAAATGACGCGTTGTTAGCTTTTGTGACCTATTCAGACAATGGAAATTCTATTTCATCTATTTTTTTTGCCAACTCTTTGATAAGAAGGTCTAAATCACATTCGTGAGCTTCCGCCTTGTTTGTTCTCTGGTGATGATAATTCACGGAAGAATTGAATTCTAAATTGTCTACTGGAACTTGACATTACAACATATGTAATTTAACTTTGAGGATTACGATTCATTACTTTGGAATTAAACTATTTTTTCTTAACTTCTGCTTGATCTTCCAACTGGAAATGCATATCGTACAAAACATGTACCATACTCTTTTCCAGAGTCAGATAAATCAGAATAGAATGAATCAGAATCACTTGGATTGAAATCGGTCTCTTCTTTGGTATCTTCCGCCGTTATAATAATACATTGTTCCATTTTGAGAAATTCGAAGAGTCGTATATATTAGTGTAATTTCAGCACGTGCATCTTCAACCAAGGAGTACCAAGCATGATTATATGAGAATAGTTTTCCACGTGTGTTTTGGAGGAAGAAACACTTTCATGATCTATAACCATTACCTAAGCAGGTGCCGTAACATTTTCTCCGACGGTAATTGGTAACTTACCTCAGAAAAGTGGTTTCTCACAAATCTCTTCGAAACGCATAGATCCTTTATCTCCTGTGATTATTGGTTTAATGATATTTCCTCCGGGTTTTTGAAAAGTACCACAGAATTTTACTTAAAGAAAGATAACATTCCACATTCTCTTTGTCGACTTTACTAAAGATGGAATAACATCCATTGTGTTGATATATCATTTTGATATATATCCATCAGAAAAAATAGATTAATTGTAAATGATCATAATCAATTAGTCTTTCGGACGAATTACTAGACTAGCCAATTCAAAGCTTATATGCTAGGCTCGCGCTCATGACACTTGGCGTTTGGGTTAATCAATACTGTACACGAATTTCTCACCATCTTTGCTAAGCATGGAGACGTTGACATATTTATCTTATACAGATCTCCCTGGCAGTATTCACATATTTATCCTCGCCATTCAATTGTGTTTGGGAGATTCTGATAGATTTAGCTTGGATACGCATCATGTTTTGGTATGGTATTTATTTATCTATATTATGTGAATATCTTTCTCATTCAAACTTATTTGTTTTGCTTTCGAGTTACAAAGAATAAAAAAGTAGCCATGTATGTCTAAATTTTATATACCTCTCCGGCAAGTTTGACTCTTTGATGGAATTGAAAAACCATGCATTCCAATACTATTATTTTTTAGACCTTATATGCATTTTTATATTGTTTTAAGCTTCCGATAATGAGATTAAATAATTATTTGATGTCACCACTGACTTTTTAAATTGATTTTACATTTGGAAGTATTTAATAAAATTAAATAATTACCAATCTTCCGGCTGAGATCAAAGTTTGAAACTTATAATATATATTAAAGGAATAAACTAGGGGTTTTTAACTTATTATTATGTTGTTAGAGAGTAAATAAAACAGGTTTTTTAATTATACAAACGAATTGGTAACTGGTAACACGTAATTTTATAATTTAAGGTTATCCATCTTATTTTTAGTTGAAGAAGGAAGAGAGCCATGAATTCATGTTTTTACTTAACAATAAGCAATCAAATAATGAAAGAATTGACCAATATTTGTTTTGCAAAATAATTATATATTAAATTTAAGAAGCGTCAAAAACATTAGAGATAAAGCAACAAAACTATTGAAGATGAGAGCCATTGAAAGGGGGAGGCGAATATTGAACAAGAAAAACTGCTTTTAAGCAATTTGTAAATACAACTCAATATGCGACATGGAATTTACTGATATTAAAATTATCTCAGAATGCAAATGTTTAAAATTCTGATATTCCTTGGGTACAAAGGCTAATCTGATATGATGACCTAAAGATATGATGATGCAATCAAATTTCAGAGGGTTTTGTTGCTCTGAATTTTATTAGATTGCGTTGTTCTCAAGAGACTGCTAAAGTCTCTCATTTATCTGAAGCCTCTAACTTGTGAGTAATGTGGATAAATTCTACAAAGGAAAGAGCTCACATGTTCGTAGAAGGAGAATCTAATTAAATCTGATACCTAAGCTCAATATGTCAGATTTAACATTATTTCATTTTGTTCTAGAGACTTGGATCTCGTGCAACTTTTTCAAACTTGATTAATTGAAGTTTCCTTTCCTTTGCATGGCCTTAGTATTAGTATCATTATTACTTGGGTGATGCACTTTATTTATTTTATTATTTTAATCCATAAAACATTAAACTAAGCCACTATGTATATAACCTGCATGAATTATTGACAAAAACGGGGGATTTGCGTAGAATACAAACAAATATGTACGCCAATTTTTGTCGTAATACGGATTTACTACTTTCACAACGTTACACATAATATATTTTCAAGAAAAAAAATTCCAACAGGGATGGAAAGATTGGAATTCCACTGAAAAAAATTAAAAGTATCTTTAGGCTATTATAACAAATATTCTGTCAATTATAACCTTTAAAATTGGCTTTTTTCTTCGAAAAAGATTGCAATGATCGTTTTTTATTAAAACGGTTTTCAAAGGAAAACGTCATTTTGAAATACCTACAATTTGGGCCTTTAAACTATTTGTACCATATGACAAAAAAATTTAATTCTGTTGGTTGATAGAATGTCTCTAGCTTTTTAATATAACGGAGAGAATTTATCGAAAAATTATTTGTTGTAGAGTTCTATTTCTTTTTAGTACATGTATTAGTAATAGTATTAATATGTTCGCGAAAATAATACGAAAATCATTTCTAAATATGGACAATCTAATTGGAGTATATATATAAAACGAGTTAACATCCAGAACAACTTTTATTTAATACACAAAGCCTTTTGTTGGTATTTTTTGTTGTCTAAATCTGAAGTTTGCAAAGTGTCAAATAACGAATTATTAAAAACGATTATTTTATTTTATTTTATTTTAGAACGTGTAAACAGTGTAAAAGCACATCATGTTAAAGATCCCAAGGTTGTTTTTTTTTCTCGATTCAACCGAATCTCTACCAAACCAACCCCAACTCAAATTTCTATTCGATATCGGATTGCATGCAAAAAGTTTCTTAATTTATAATTTTAATGGCCATATAAGATATGTTTTTTATTTATCTTCCTGGAAGGTGCACATTAGATTGAGTATGAATTTCACTTGCAAGTTTAAGAAATATATTAGAGCCAACAACCTTATTAGAGATGTGCAAATGTGCGTATAATACGTATAGTAGTGTTGAAATTTGATTGGATGATTTTCAAAATGTAATAAGAAAAAAATAAAATAAAATTATTTGGCCATTACAATTAAATCTTTATTTAATTTATTCAACTTGCACTTTTTTATCTTTTTATACTAAAAATTTGATTTATATATTTTAATTGAATTATTAATTATATTAAATGAATTAAATATCATAAAAATCAAAACTTTTTCACTTTGATTCTTCAATAAAATTTTCATGTGTTTCGATAGCATTTTCATAAATTTCTCAATTACGTTATAATTTATCTGTATACTAATATTTGAAGTATCAAAACATTCTCCAAAATAATTTCTTTTAGTATGAATTGTGGCATTTTGACAAAGGCGTAAATGGTTTTCACATCTAGATACTGAACTAGTACATTGATATTTTTGCAATATAGACATTCAAAACGTAATTGCTTATAACATTACCATTACCATATGTTTAAAATGTTGCCAAATGCATTTTGACAAGTCATGATAAGTTTAATATATACTGTACTGTATATCGTTTAATTTTCAATTAATTTTACATGTACATTTACTATTATTATTATATAGTTCTAACTTAGAACTATACATACTATACGTATAGTACTAATCTGCCCATCCCTAAACCTGATAAACCCATTTATTAATATGCTCCACTACATCAAGGAATTAGACAATGCCAAATCTTTCTTTAAAAAATCAATTTTATGTAAAGAAAGTAATAAAAAATGGAGACAAAGTAGAGGTAATATTATGTTGTATATGGAGGGCGCTCTGCATTTAAACTTTTTAATACTACATTGCATCTTCCAAAATAACTAAATGTTCGTCATAATCAACAATGGCTCTTCTTATCCATGTAGCAGTGCAAATTGAACTAAATCTGCTTTCAATTAACTTTTGTTATATTCTCAAATTGCTCAAAAGGTATTGTGAGATCGTGTCCGAGTCTCGCATGATAATAATTTATTTAAAGTTATACAATAATACCAATAAAATAATTAACTCACGGAAATAACAGAAGAATAAATGTTCTAACATTCCCAATTGTAACAGACCTTTAATTCTCAAATTCTATTTAAACAAAGGAATTTATTTAAATTACTTGTTCACTCTAGAAATAACTTGAAAAATAACTCTACACGGAAGGATCAAATTATATTTAAGGAATACATTTAATTAGAACAAATTAAAAGCTCTAGGAAATCAGAAAACTAGATGATTGAACCTTTAACATGTGTAAACAACGTTGTAATTTTCTTAACTTCATGTATTATCATATACCAATATAATATGTATTATTAGAAAATATAACATTCTCATTCCTTTTATTTTAATTAAGTAATAAAGGATAAATTATAATATTACTTTAGTTGCAAAAAGTTCAAGGTAAATTATATTTTCATCATTCAACACATGACAATTGAAATAAGTTGTGAATGTTACGGATGGACCATTATTACTTGGTGTTAAGGTTGTAAATATCAAACTTTTGTTTGGCATTGATTTATATATATTTGGATCATCTTTAATGACTATATATATATGTGTTTCCATTATTATCTTGTGTATACTTTGTTGCCGCAATTTTATTCAATTGTAATTGTCCATCGATGGTCACTGGAGTTCGTTCATGTATCAAATGAATTTGTATTTATTGAGTAAACTATGGATCCCTAAGCTATAGGACTAGCTGACATGTCAAACGAAGCTCAACAAAAAAAGGGGAGCAACCAAGTTTCCATATATATTAATTATTGTAAAAATAAAAAAACTTTGGCAAAATATGAAATTCATATTTAGCAAAATTCTGCGGGTTTTATGTATACGATAAATCCTTTGAATCAATCAATAATATTAAGACACTTTTCTGTTTTAGATCATAGTTATTTATTTTAAAGGGTGATGTCTTTCCGTTTTATCGCATAAAAAATAATAATGTCAGACAATTATATATCACCAACAACAAATCAAGGCCAATACCTAATGCAGCCAAATGATTATTATTATAAAATAATTATTTTATTATATAAACAGAAAAACCATTACATCCTAAAGCAGAGACCCTATCTGCATATCCAACGCCACTAAGTCTTAAACATTTATAAATTGATTAATTAGATTCTAATTCTTCGCTCGCATGCATTAGACTATCTTCCAGATGAACTCGTATTTGTTCTACGTCTATTAGAACCTGAGGATCATAGAATGCTATATTTCATTGATCCATGCAACAGTCGCCATCATCACCATTAGAAAAATAAATGATTGATTTAATAATATTCAAGTGGTCAAATCATAAACAATAACCAAGATGATGATAATAATGATGATGAAAATAACTTATTGAGAAGCAATGTGAATATAGTAGAGCCAAAGCAAAAATCTATTATATTAACATCAGCCCGCAAAAATACTGGACAAGGTGTTGATATTGTTACAAGTGATGGGGGCAATTAAAAGTTCAAGGATTTTTGGAGAGTCAAAAGTACGTTATTCATTTATTTCAACTGATGGTAGTGAAATGATTGATATCAGTGATACTATTGAAGACATTCTGGGTGATGTTGATGGGCTTGTGGTAGAGGAGGAGGTTAATGAAAATTCAATAAAATAATAACATTAAAATCAAAAGAAGACCCAAATTCATCATCAGCTTTTAAAATATAGAAAGAGTACCGTTCAAGATGTAGATGTTTTGGTAAAGATTGTTGACCGGACTTAAAATAATGATAATGATGAGTAATTGAAAGTAATGCTAAATCCATCATATAGATTGTTGAGCAAATCAAACATAAATTTAAATAAAAATTCGAATTCAATAACAAGATATAGTAAGTTATTTAGTGTACAAACCCAATAAAACACAACCATTTCAACAAAAAGTAGATCCTCTTCTAATTCATCATCAATCTACAAAAAAATAAAAAAAAACATCAAATGACATTATGTGTATTTCGGTTTGAAAGAATTGTTAATACTTGTGAGATCAGGTATTAATATGTCAGGAAGAGTGGATGGCATTCAAAGGAAGAGTCATAAAAAGATATTTATATATATTTAATTTACTATTTTTAGGCTTTTTATTAATTTTTGCGTTAGATTTTTCTTGTTATTTCTAGGTCTTGCGTATAAATATTTTTGAATGGGCGCTTTTAATTTCACAAACAAAAGAATGTTATTTATGATCGAGATAAAAAAAAGTTTCTTATCATCATGTTTCCAATTTTGTGGACAAAATTCCTTTTCCGGGGCCTGATTTTTATAGGGTATATCTGGATCATACATTTAGAAACTCGCCCGAAAATAATTTTAATTTTTAATTCTTATTCAATCAAATAGATATAATGATTAATGTAGTGCAGTTGAGGTAGGCAAATTTCTAATTTTCGATTTCGCGCATCAGATCTTGTGAGTTTTCTAATTTTAATAACGATCTCACCTCATTCCTCATTTTAAATTGGCAATTTTTGTTTAATGTCAAAAAAACTTGAAAATATGGATTCGGATGTTGATTGTTGCCACCACTATAAATAACCTTTTTAATACAAAACTTCAATTGTTAAATTCAATACTAATCAAAATGAATGATGAATGCCACGTTTATTTAATAATAAATACATTGTTATTTGGTACTAATCAAGATTGTCAAATAACAAATGCCAATGCCACATCTATTTAGTAATAGATTTATTATATTTTTGGAACATATCAATTTATTTTTCATTACTAACGAATTTATGGCTAGTACATAATAATATAATATTTTCCAATTATGCCTTGCACAATTTGAGATGATTTATTATACAATATTGTAAATATTATTAATGCCCGTCCTTTTTAAGAAAACATTAGGGACGGGCAGTAATGGCACAGTAACCCATCCCTTTTTCACCCGTCCTTCTCAAGATTTCCCCATGAATAATAGAAATAGAAAAGGACGGGGGACGGGTTGCTGCGCCTTGGCCGCGCCACGCCCGTCACCCGTAATTGCCCGCCCTTTTTATATTATTTTGAAGTACACCCGTACCATTGCCCGTCCTTTTCTAGTATTAATGGGCCAAACTTGAAAAGGACGGGGGACGGGTTCAAGTCACACCTGCCCGTCCCCCGTCCTTTTCACGTGTCCCATTCAAAAAAGCCAGTTGAAATTGAATTTATGAAGATTTGTCACTTCAATTAGTAAAAAATCAATATTTATTTTTTAGCATTAGAATTAGTTTTATGTGTACATATCAAGTATAAAGTATCTATTCAAATGCTTAATGAGTGGTTAAAAAGAATTATCAGGAGGGTCTAATTAAAGGTTGTGCTATATAAATAATAATAATACAAATACAAATAAGAAATGAAAGTATGAACATAATACACATAATATCACAATAATATATATTTACAATTACATTGTTGATATTAATGAAGTTGTAGGGTCCTGCCTATTTTAAACATCCAAGATTATCAAACTTTGTTTCCAGTGTATCATTAATAGGCTCTATTAAATTAATATTGGGATGACTTAAAGAACTATTGTCTTCATTTTTTTGTTGCTCATTATTTTCCTCTTTATCAACTATATCAACTATATTTGAGCCTGAAATTGTTCTAAGCATTGTTTCAACATATTGAATATCAGGTCTGTCTTTTGGGTCATCCTGCCAACATGCTAAACACAAGTAAATGATTAACAATAATTTAATGCATATAAATATATATATAGATT